AAGCATAATAAATTATTTATTGTGGGTTGAAAACCCTATATGCTCACCAGGCTCCCAAGCCTGACCCACTTAGTTTGTTTGTATCACAGGTATCGATACGAAGTTACTTTACACTGAGAGATTAAAAGAGATGTAGATCACTAGTGTAAGTGAGTGTAAGTTCTGTTTATGCTTATGTTTCTATATTGACGATGACATCCCAATGGTTTAAGTGAATAAAATACATTTCTTTAGAAATGATTTGATAATATAATTATCAAATTTTTATGGGAACAAATTCCGCAACACCTTTTAAAAGGATTAATCTGATTTTATTTTAAAAAGCATAAACGAAATCGGTCTTTTCTGGCCGGGAAATTAGGGGATGTCACAAATGTACACCCTGTCTTCCACGTGTCACACCTGAAGAAATGCCTATCAGATGAAACTGTCGTTGTTCCACTCGACGAGATTGAGGTGAATAAAAATCTCCTGTTCGTTGAGGAACAGGTTGAAATCATGGACAGAGAAATGAAACGTACTAAACAAAGCCGCATTCCTATTGTAATGGTTCGATGGAGTGCCAAACGCGGACCTGAATTCACATGGGAACGCGAGGATCAGATGATGCAAAAATACCCCCATCTCTTATCTAGTTCTTAAGGATCACTTTCGAAAGAATTTTGGGACGAAATTCCCTCTAACGGGGGGATGATGTCACAACTAGAAAATTAGGGTTAGATTTCTATCTTGTGCAAGATAATTTCTTTGTGTAATCTTGTAACCCTACATTTGGTATAAAGCAAACTTCAATGCTATATCAGTTTATACACCCAAAAATTTTGATCTTAGTCGAAACCTCCTCGTGTAAGCCCAAAACCTAACCCAATAAGCAATATCCACTCAACTTTGGGCCTTAACCCAAGTTTTCTCGATCCAAACCTCTTAATGGGCCAAGATCTTCTTATTGGGCCCTAATGGACCGACAACCCTTCTAATTGATCTTTTGGGCCGTAAAACCCTTATTGGGCCTTATTGGGCTGCAAGAATTTATTATTAGACGCTAATGGGCCAAATACCTCTATTAGGTATTATTTGGGCCATAAAACTCTCTAATGGGCCTTCCAAGACCGAAAACTGCTATTGGACCCCTTTTGGGCCAAAAGCCCAAGTTGACCTTTATATAGACCGAGAACCCATATTTGGGCCGAAAATCATTTTTTGGGCTCATCGAACCGAAAATCAATATTGGGCCTCCTATTAGGCCGAAAACACTTCCATTTAATCTCTTTGGTCCGAAAAACCGTATATGGTCCTTAATGGGTCAAAAAATTCTTATTGGTCCCAACGTGTTCTTGGTTGTCTTTCAAGCCCAAAAACCTTTTTCTCCCCTCTCCTTGGGCCGATCGGTTAGCCCATTAAAAAAAGGAATTTCCTAACTTGCCACCTCACTATAACCTTGCATGTATCTAAGTTTATTACCCCCCATGTAACTAAGACCCTCACATCAATTCTAGCTAAGGTCAACCCCTATCACCTCCCCCCTTCCCCTCATCGGCCGACCCCCTCCCCATTCCCTCTCCACTTTTCATTTTCCAAACTCAAACTCTTATCTCATTCTCTCTAAAAAAACTCAAGAAACTCTCTCATTTCCTTCTTCAAAAATCGTGGGTTACCAGTGTGTTTCAAGAAGTTTTCTTCAAGCTTCATCCCTTGGTAAGTTTATGACAAACTCCCTTTGATTCATTCCAAGTTTATATAAAAGATCTTTCTCTTACTCTCTCATTTTCGTGATTATGCTCCCTAGAACACCTTAACTTCGAAAATCTCCTCAAGGAAGCAATCTAGGCCGAAAACCTCCTCCATCTTCCTCTTTAAAATTGAAAAAGCCCCAAGGTGAGCTTCATACCCCTTATTTTTCGAGTTTTCCTTCTTTGTGGGAGATACAAGTGAAGGTCTTGTGTAAAATCTTTGTATACTTGCTTGCATGTGTATGTTTTATATGTTACGTGTGTTGAAATGTTGTGAAATCATGCTAAAAGTCCATAAACTCGAGATTGTTGGTTGAATATCAAGTTGTTGGAAAATAGTTAACTTGATATGTTGTTTGTTTCTAGGTGAATAATGTTTTCAATTGATGCATGTTAAAAATCACAAGAATTAGTCTAAAATATGTTTAAACAAAGTTTGGTTATGAAGACTTGGAAAATGATCAAATATGAATATTTTTGTAAAAATGGGCCGTTATTGGAAATTATGGTAAAAATGGCTCATTTATAAACATTTTGGTAAAATGAGCCGTTTTTGACAACTTTAGTGAAAATGGGTCGTTTTTGACACTTATAGTAAAAATGGACTATTTTTGACACTTCTAGTAAAAATGGACTATTTTTGACACTTATAGTAAAAATGGGCTATTTTTAAACACTCCTAGTAAACCGTATAAATTACAACAAAAATTATTGCGTGTTATAATTTGTAGTTGAAAATATACACTAGTAACATTATTTATAACATTAAATAATGGAATTCAATATTCGCGTAAATTTCCGTTAAGGCTCTTGTGAGACACTCCTTCACTCGTACCTACCTAGCGTACATCGTAAGTCCTGTAGTTATAACCAGAGTCTCCTTGAGAGAGAGCGGGATATTGTGTATAAATCTATACGGGGTTGACACCCCCACACCTGAGTTGTTCGCTACAGCTAGACATGTCAGTCTAGGGTGACAATTATCTTTAGAAACCGACGCCTGAAGAACGTCAAGACAGGCGCTTTAGTCATATTAGTATGGTTGTAACGACTCACATAGAGAAATAATAATATTATTATAATATTTACGCAAAACACACATTCCACTCATTTTATAAAGTACAAAACTACGGGTCGTCTATTTTGCAACTAACTCCACCACTCGGGTCTTAGGGTTTTAAGACCACAACTTTTTTAAAACAGAAAGTATAGGATTTTCAGGGAACACTCTCTATATATTTTCAAACAAGGTAAACAAAGAATACACATGCAATTATACATGAATTGAAATGAGACTCACAAACTATTTTTACAAGAAAATATTGGATTTTCTGGAAGTTACAAACTATTACAAAGTTTTCTTACAAACATGCTTATGAACTCACCAACATTCTATGTTGACGCTTTTCAAAACGACTTGTATTCTCAGGGACTCAATAAGCAGGTTGGCAGCTAAGGAATTTGGATAATTGTTGTAATTTTGAATTATCATACATTATGTTATTTTTGGATGTATTTTCGTAAACAAACACAAAGATGTAAACAATGCATGTTGATATCGTTAATGTGTGATGATGATGGTTGCTATGTTTCATTTATATGCAATTGTTATGATATTACAAGATGAAGTCACCCGCCCTCGGACGTTTCTGCTGTCCCGGTTCGGGGGTGTGACAGTTTCTTCACTGCACGGTCCACACAGATAGTGTGTAAATCCACACTGACCGTGTGTCTGCTGTTGTATGGATTAATTGGCCCATTTGCTTTGGTCTTCAATCTCCTTTCTTCTTGCCTTGGTCCAGCCCATTTACAAGGTTCTTGATAGCCCAAGTTTGTCTTTTAAGCTCCTCCAAACTAGCCCATAACTTCTTTTGATCATCCAAAGCTTCAATTGTCTTCACATCATCATCATTCACCATCCAAGATTAAAGCCCAAATTATTCCTTCATCAGGTTGACAATAAGCCGAATTGCACCACTTCAAGCCCACAGATAAAACACAAGCCTCTAACTTCAAGGTTAGCATTCCCGCAATCCTCCATATTCAAAAGTCTTCGAGAGATCCCGAAATTATGCTCAAAAGACTGGAAATTATCGATAAATGTGAAATATAACGAAAAGAGAAAATATGCATGAACACCAACTAAAATAAGATGAAATGGGATAAAATAAACTAGAAAATAAGTAAATAAAATGAAACTATCACCTATAAACAAGATTTATCAATGATTTTGTCATAATATTGATTGATCTACTTACGTGAGTGATGTCTAGGCTAGATTTAGTGAGATGTTTAAAGTGGATTTTCCAAACTGTATACTTTGTATACTAAACGGATTCTACCTCTGATATGAACTTACCTGGTTGTTCCTTATTTGATAGATCTCGATGTATTCATCGGGATTGTTGAGGAATCTAGAAGAAGTTATAAAACCCATATAAATACGAACGAATACTGAAGCATAGTAATATTCGTATTTAGGGATAAGCTGAAGTATTAGTCAAAGAGCTAGTTTTCCAGAGGATCTTCCACCTCAATCAGGTGAATGCATAGTTACTTTATGAACATGATTTTAATACAAGTATTATTAAAAATATTAAATATCTAGTGAAAGTTTATATGTGAATTATACGCTTATTGCATGAGATATGTGTTAGATGTATATTTAATAGCATACATTGCGCGAACCAAAGATGATTATATATGTGTTAAGATGTATATATAATATTATTACATGATAATAATAACAGAAGTATTATTTTCGAGAAAGTAAATATATATTAATACTTAATACTCTGTGTTAAATGTATACACTAGATTATGATAGTGTTGCCTAAATAGAGTTGGTATTGGGAGTTAATATTAAGTATTGTGGTCTTCCTTAGTGATGAGATAAAACTCATAAAGGATGCTTAGTTTGAGTTAAGCTTAAGAGATATAGACTTATCTTGTATTATAAAGATATTACATAGGAAGGAACATTGGGATGATTATGGGTATTACAACCTTGTTTAGACTTATCCTATATTGTAAAGATATTACTTAGGCAATTTAACAAGGATATGAGGATTGGTAGGAATAAATGTATGAGGATATTTAATTTATCTTGAATTATTACTATAGCTACCACATTCTTTTTAAATTAGTATTTTGGAATTTCGACAAATAACTTTGTCATCTCGGCAAGATATTAATGCTACCAAAAATACCTTCAAACCCATTTGTTTTAACATAACAGATACCAAACCACCAAGCAACGGATCTATAAAATAGTACAAGGCAATACAAATATTTCAAATTAAAAACAACACTAAACAAACAAACATCTCTTACACCAACTATAACCAAATATTTGTTCCTACAAATCCCTATCAAATAAAATAAGTTTTAGCATTTTAGCACTAGAAAAAACTATTTATTCGGTCATGGTCCCTCATGTTTCAATTTCAACCACTTTTTGCCCATTGCAATTTCCCCATAAAAAATAATAATAACATTACAACAAGGGTTTTAATTTAATGGGCAAAAGGTTATTGGAACATAAGTTATAGTAAATTAATGACTGACCAAATAAATAAATTTAATAGAGCAGTTGCCAAAACTTATTGTATAATAATAATAATAATAATAATAATAATAATAATAATACATGGTTCAACAAATACCCCCTTTCTCAACTATCAACTCACCTTATGTAATAATCTTAACATTTTATCAAGCATTTGTTAAGCCTTTAGATGCCTTCCCACATATGCCTGAGAATAAAAGTAAAATGCTATAATAATTAATAAACAAATAAAATAAAAAACACGATAGAAAACAACTGACCTCGACAAGCTTAGTGATTTTGGATTTAGAAAACGCGAGATATTGATCAATCTTTTCTTGTGTTCTTGGGATTTGAACCCCTTGAATACTACTTGAAACCTTTTCAACTACTTTTTTCACAATTGTTTTATAAACTTCTCTACTCATTTTACCTTCTTTCCATGTTGGTTTCAATATCTCTTTAACAAATTCCACAAGCACAATCTTAAACTGCCTCATTGCCTTTTCATCACCCTCCTCCACTTTTCCTTGTACCTCATTTTTCCCACTATTATTCGTATTCTTTAAATTCTCATCTTTTTTCTTCTTCTCAGTTTCCTCCTCCTTCACATCTGATTCCACCGGAATCTGATTCCCCTGTTCCACGGAATCAGCCACGATTCCCGCTTTGATGGGATCACTCACAGGGGCACCAGAAGATCCGGAATTCGGAAGGGAATAGAGCAACTCAAGGGCACTTGCGAGAATTTGCTTCTCATTTGCTTGAGAAAACTGCTCCTGCTCCTTATTTTCAGTTGGGATCCCGTTTCTAGAAGCTTCTAGAGGTTTCCCTTCTTCAAGTTTTGGTCCTCCGTTCATGTCATGACTTTTTTCAGCCTCATTTAAAGTGATTGGATTTTGAGTAAAATCTTGTTCATATTGGGATTGGGATTCTTGATTCCATGAAGGATCATTCCAAGATTTGTTATTTTCATCATGTGACCTTTCTACATAACCCTCTGATTTTGGAACATCATGAGAAAACTTGCAACGATTTCGGTTGCAATTACCCCTCATAAAAAACCTACATGGGGGCTTCACACTATTATTATCATAAGAATTATTCCTATTATTATTATTATTACCTCCGTCTCTGTGGTAATCAGCATCTTTCCTATGACCATGTCCATCGGAATCCTTATTCCTGTCATCACGGAATCCTGATTCCGGGTGGACGAATCTACCCTGACTACCTCTTCTAGAGTTTCCAGAAGCAAATTCTTTAGATGATCGATGTGATGATGCCCTTGAAATCGAATCATTTCTTATGTCACCGGAATCATACGATTCCTGTCTTTCATCCCGATTCCGATCCCGGTCCCGGACTCGGCTTCGGGGTGGACTCCTACTCCGGTCTCGGTTTCCACCTCTACATGTTATTTAGAATTCACAAGAAAAAATAAAAAACATAAAAATGGGTGTTTTTGAAAAATGATTATTTGATGTTGAATAATCAGAGGATTATATAGTCAGTGTAATGGAATTGCAAACCTATATGGGATGTTTTCATTTGGTTGTTGTTGCATAGGGTCATGAGAAAAATCATCAGACATGAATACATCATTAGCTTCTGAATTTGATCGTTTTGGTGAAATGTCTCCATGAAAGCTTGAATCAAGAATCTTTCCACTTTGAGGGATTGCTTCTTCTTTGTTGTCCCATAAGGATTTTGATCTTCTACGTGCACCACTCATTGTCCCACTTTTTAATGCTTTTTTCTTTACCTTCTCTACTCAAGCTACAGCATAATCTGTTTTTGCAAAAAGATAAGTTCAAATTTACACGTTTCAACTTTCACACTTGCATGATTCAACAAGATATGCTGGAAACACAAATTAGGCTTCATATTCAATAATCTCCCATCTAAGGATTGATAATAGAAGTAACTAAATCTACACATACTTCATTCAAAAACATTAAAAATGAACACCAATGGCAAAAATGAAAACAAGAGCTCCCATCTCTAACAATGGAGGCCAGTTGAGGTACTATCTAACACCCTAAAATTTGAATAATAGCATATAGCCAAAACTTATAATTTACACCTCAATGGTATCAAGAGTGCATGGAAGTCTTTTCCATAAACAAAAAATGTTTTAGTTGCATATGGTAACTAAATACATCAAAATGGTGTTACTAACAGATATTTGCTTCATGCAATACCAAACCATAATAAGCTGATAAGTTGTTCTTTAGTGTTGAAATGAATTTAGTGCTAAAATGAAATGACTTATTCGGTGCCCAAAGGCAATAAGTTGATAAGTTATAATGGAACAACTTATCCAATTATGTTTACTTAAGTCGATAAGCAGAAGCTATTTTGTAATCCAAACAAATAAGCTTATTAACGATACCAAATTGCAATAAGCTAATAAACACCTTATATAAACAATCCCAAACATCCCCTAATACTTCAAAATAGACACACAATATTAGTTTATCTTCCAATTGATCTTTTAAAAGATCCAAGTATCTTCCAAACACAATACTTAACCTAAATGCTTGTTACAACCTCACCTCCAAATATCCATTTTAAGGAACAAGTGTTAGGCTAATAACATAGTGAGAACAAGAGTTCTATGCATAACAAATTTACATCACTATATAGACCATTCCAACGAACATAATAAAGTGGTTTGGAGACATGGTAAAACATGAAATGTTATGTGCAAAGCCATCACTCTCGATCTCAACATAAGAACCAAAACCACACACACGAAGGCTTCCTATGACCATCAAATGCAAAAAGCAATTCACTATAATTGTTAGCCCAAGGATTAAATGAAACAACCGCACTCCTTCGACCAAATAAGTATTTCATGATATGATGGTGTCTATGTGCACTACATTTATCATTAGTCCGGACAATCACTTGTGAGGATTCGTCAATAACCCACATCCCATGTGATTTACAAAGATCAATGTAGATAAATCATGCAAAGCACAAAACCTTAATAGTCTAAACATCCATTACAACAAATTCATAATAACCATACATATTCTTCATAAATAACAACATTTAGCCGTTTAGGTGTTTAGCTTACTAAAGCACTCAAGCCCTAAGATAAAACCCTAGTTTTAAGCCAATTACTTTAGCAAATATGAACTCTAGGTTTAACATGTCCATATCTTTAGATTACCCAAAGAACAAAATGATCATCCTTCTTCAATGTCTTCGCTCTTCCAAGATGGCAAACAATAGCCTTTTGTGAGTGAAGTATAATAAATGAACAAGTCCCCAAAGTAAAGAGTCTTTAAAACCCTTTGTTATACGTAAGCAACCTGCAAGTTGCATAGCCTCCACACCTAATTCCATTTTTTCTTAAAAGCAACTTAGATATGTGACTTTTGAGTTGCACACCATCTCACGTGGTACCCTTTGCAACTACCATTGTGTTCAAACATGCATGCAACCTACTCGACTTTTTGTGATTGCAAAGCGACTTGCTCATTGGCCAAGTCATGTAGACAATCTCCATGGTTAATATGACTTGCACAAATTAAGTGCCATTATTCTCTCCAAAAGTATCTTCAACAAAACCATCTCCTTGCTTTCTTCAAACATAGCCAAGTATTAGATTCCGGTTGTTGACATGGAAGCACTTCACTCACAATCTTCACTAAATCAACATGAAAGAATCATCTTTCTCTTGCTTTGTTTTGCAAAATGTTGGATTCAAAGTGCCCTTCAAATATCTCTAACACTATTTCATAACTTCCGAATGTAGAGGCGCTTGACATAATAATGCTCACACCCATCATTGCATCACATGTATTATGTCTAGTCCTCGATGGACCATATTATATATATGAGCAAATTCGACTTTTGTAATTAGCAACTTGAGTTCCATATCTAGCAACTTGTCAAAATACACTAGATCCATATATGGTCACATTCTTACTCCTTGGTGGTCTTTTTGGCCTTCATTACATAGTAAAATAGCTAAAAACCATTCCTTCATTACATAGTAAAATAACTAATGGACCAATACACTTGACTTTTAAAACACCAATTACATCTTGATTTGTAGAAGTTGATGGAAAATTTCCGTTTTAGACATGATGTTGATGCCAACTAATGTTCTTAATGTTGATCCAACATCAACATCCATGTCTTCAACCGATAATATCCAAAACAACTCTTAACTTTTTCTCTTCCACTTCACGATGTGTACATGTCTACGACATGCTCACACCATTTGCATTATGCCACACAGCCACAACATGCATCAATCTTTGCGACATGAAAAACTTGCTTCACATTGCAAAGCTTTAAGTATAGCAAAACTCAAAACAATACATGACGCTTCTTAACTCTGACGGTATTCACCATTAGCTTTATATATTATTTCCAAATCTGCCCCTCAGATTTGTCAAAGATTGTTGCGAGCATTTTGAAGATAGTTCCACCATGATCACTGATTGATATAACCAATGTCACATGGAAGATCATTTGGAAAGCAACAAGTGCCTAAAAACGATAGTTCAGCAACATTGAAGAGTGGATTTCATTATTATATTTCTGGATTAAATGCCCATAATTTGGTTGCAAAGGGAAAGATATGTTGCTGGAGATCAAGAAAGGTTGGCAATGAGGATTTTCCATTATTTGGATATGTGGCAGCACAAGAGGAAGACAATATCACGTGGCCCAGAAAAAACGCAGCCATCTACACATGTAAAGATCACAAAAGAAAGAAAAAAAATCAAGAACACATCACGTGACTGTGATATACAAGGTGCCTAGATACAGAATAAAGCTTAAAATGAACATCAACTAAGAATTTAAATAAAAAGTAGTTCTTCGGATACACACTCAACAACCATAAAAAAAAGGGATCTAAATTATGAATGAATACACAACAAAAGATGATAAAATGTCACAACAAAATACTCAGGTCAACAACACTCCATACATACCAAACATTTAATCAAGTGAGGTATTTCTCTCTAGGTCTATATATCTAATACTGTAGCCACTTAAAAATTTGGTTAGAAACACCCTCTTTCCTGAAGTTCCGCATGCATGACAAAAAAAAGGAGTGGCTTCTTATTTATCATGTCACTCCATGTACTATAAAAGTAGACCAAATGAAAGGGCATAGAAAGTTTAGGAGAACTTATTGGAGAAACTTTATTAAAAAAAAAAAAGGTGAGATGACCTAAATCCTTGATCTTCACCCAATTCCTGTGAATTTAATGCTACCAAAGAATTCAGTCGCAAGTCTCTTAAAGCTATTTGCCTGTTGCGACATAAATCAAGCTAAGATAAGAAACTTTCCATGGTAAGGAAGAAGGGAACATGCACACTTTGAGAGCACACAGGGAGTTGTATACTAGAAGATAGCAGCTGAATTACAAATATGTCTAACACTTAGCACTATTGGGAGCTGAATTAGCGTCAATTAATTCCCTTTTTTTAATAAATGAAAGTTGAATCGACCACAGATTTAAAAAGACACAAAAAAACACCAGTCACTTCAGTTACATGTCTTAACGGGCAAAAGCTAAGCATAAACACAAGATCCCTTGTCAAATTACATTTATTTCACAACGATACGTACAAGAAAGAAGACTTCTCATTAATAGCGTCATTACAAATTTAGAGGCCGAAAAAGTTGATAACTTGTCTAACGAATGAAGGAAAACGAAAACCCTAATTGAAAAGCGCGAGAGAATGATGAAATACCTGTAAGTGAAGAAATGAAAACCCTTGAATTATTTGTGATTATGTTCCTCTCTCGCCATTGTTCAGTAGCAGCAATCTGAAGAATGAAAGGATCTTCTTTTCGTAAGGCATAGATTTTAGGTCATTTAATTGTACGAGTCAACTAGTGATTTAGGTGATATATGGAATTGGGGGTTGAACTGAGAATCTTGAAATTACCGAAGGACCGTCGCAAAATAGTAATTTACGAAACAGTCCCTAAGGTTATTAAAATTTGCAATTATTTTGGAAAAGAATAAAAGTTTACAATTCTTTACAATATGGATCATGAATGCAACAAAACCTAAAATGTAACCAAATGAGTGTTTTCACTTAGACAGAATAATCAAATAAGAGAGGTTCAAATAGTCTAAATAGTCTGATTCATTTCAAAACTTTGAATCAAACTATACTCATTCACTAAATTAAGAAATTAGTATCATATCGACCTAGATTTCGTCTCAATAGAGTTTGTAGATGGGATGTTATGTTTCGCCTCATTACTCAACATTTTTTTCCACAAGAGAAGAAACCACTCTTCTTGTAGATTAGTTTGTTGGTTTTTTCTTCACCCAATTAAGAAATAAAGAGAATGAAACATTATGAAAAATAAATAAACACTTTAGCGAGAAACATAGGAAGTTCGTATTCATTTTATCTTCAAAGCCTCGATCTACACTCACTAACGGGGTCTAACTTTTCGAACCAATCAAACTTAAAAAAAAAAAGAATAAAATGAATTTCACATACTTTGTGATTTTTTTTGATTTTTCAGGATTAATTGTTAGATTAGCCATGAATTTTTTGGCTTTGTCACCTTAATTCTTAGAACTTTAAATTTATTAAATTAGACCTTCAACTTTTGTAAAATGTAATGATTTGGTCATTGCGACGGGCTATAGGAAGTTAAATAAGATACAGTGCCGCATATCCAAAATCTGATATTTATCTTCATCCATGGGGCCTTGTCAATGTATTTCTTTGACTAAGTACAAAAAAAGTTTCCCAAACACCCTCTAACTAGGAAATTTATAAGTGTCACATGTGGTGAGTGCAAACAAAAGGATCACAATTCAAGAACATACAAGAGTCAAATTCAAGAACATACAAAAGTTTGAGAGAGAATGCAAGAGAATACATGTAGCAGTCAACCAAGAAATTGATATGGTGCAAGGGTTGTCATGGTGCAATGATGAAAATGGTGCATGGTTGATGTTTTTTTGGTATGGTTTTCATGTCGTTTAAGGTTTCAAAAACAATATTTTTATATTGAAAACTATGGTTGTTTAAGAAATAGTTATCATAATGTCATTGTGACTATCGATGGTTATGTCTTTTGTGGATGGTATAATTATGAACATGTTTGACTTTACCACCCTTTTGGTTATGCCTTTTGTGTATGGTATGTTGATGACATTGTGACTATGGATGGTTATGTCATACTACTTGTTTGAAAACCGATATTTTTCATTTTGAAATCGTAAGTTTGTGTGTGTTACTTTATATACCATCTAATCTATGTACGAGTACACTATCACTATTATGTTAAAGAAAATCCATGTATTACAACACAATCAACTTAAACAAACATTATGAGAGACTAATTTAGACATTGAAATGGGTTACCATACAAATAAGGGTTTCTCAAAAAATAATAATAATAATAATAACAACCAAAACCTTAACATATATGCCCTAGTTCCGGAACAACACAATAACCACAAACAAGACCCATGTTTTGCTTCTATCTTGCAAATTCCCCCAAGACATCCAATGTCTATTAATTAATTGTTCTTAGTAACCAATAAACCCAGTTGGTCTTCAACACATTATAAATAAACCTCCATATGGAATCCTTCAAAATTTCAGGGAAAAAAAAAGAATTAAGCTCAAATCTAAGAAAAATGTTTGAAGTAACTTTAAATTGCTAACCTGTTTACGACATGCATCAAATCGGTGATTAGGGGTAAGAGATGTCACTACATTCGCACAATCACCACATTTCCATGCAAGCAAAACACTATTGTTGAAGGAAATGAGTTTATGTTTGGATAATAAAAGAACCGTTGAAGCCGAAGATGTATAAAAAAGGTACAGACTTGAAAGACAAAAATGTTAAAAATGTTCTCATAGGGAGGGCATATGTTCTACTTAATGGGGCTCTTTTGACATAAGTTAAATTAAGGGATCAAAACCACCAAAAAAGAAAAATTAAATTTTAAGCCATTTGTGCAAATTGAAAAAAATTTAGACTCCATCAACAGTTTTTTAGCAAAAACAAAGACCAAAATTGTAGTGTACTCAATTATTTATCACAAACCAGTTTGCACAAAAAATAAATTGAGTGTTCAGTGGAAATTTATAAAAAGTGAACATGTTCAACATGGTTTTAATATAATACACGTTTACAATTTTGCTAAAACAAAAATCATATATATATATATATATATATATATATATATATATATATATATATATATATAACACAAATACCATTTCAAACAATTTAATAATTTCAAGTTCATTATAATCCCGATGTGCTATTATATCGTCTATGACCCACATCCACTTACCCATATAAGAAAATTTAACTTTCAACTTACATAAAACTGCAACTATCACCTACACTCTTTGAAACAGATTCTCCGATGACTATAACAACGCCGCCGTCAAAACAGTCGCCGGTGGCGGTGGAGCCAGAGCATTCACTGTTCCATTATCAGTCCAATTCGTTTCACCCCAATGCCAAAGCATACTCTCCCAGAAACAAAACTCCTCAAAACAACTCTCCAAACGTGAATCCTTTATCTTAATCTTCCAATGACCATCGGAATAGTTCCCTTTCTCCGCCTCCCTCCGATCCCACTCCAACGCCGCCTTCTGCTTTGATCTAAGCAAACAATACTTATGCAGATTCTCCGGCATCGCATCATGAACCTTCCACCACCGTTCATGCGCCACGTCGCTAGCAAACTCCTGAATCTTCGCCACGTTCCAGTTACAATCATAGTCTCGAAAACACAACCATGGCTTCAACCCTAGATAATGAAGAACGTAAAGAACAGGAGGATCGGCGCCAAAAAGACGTGTTTTCATTACCTTCTTTTCTTCCTCATCGCCTTCCCAAAAATGCTTCAAAAAATTCATATGTTTAGGGATCCGATGCCACCACGTGAAGATCTCGTTCAAGTACCCTTGGTCGCCGCCGTTGTACGATTCAATTTCATCAATGTGATCCATCAACAACTTGAAAGTGCAATTTGAAGGCTCAACCACCATTACACCGGAATTGAAAAGCGTGGCGTTGTTTCCGGTAGCGGTAATCTCCGGCATCTCGAAGAGGAAGTCGATGTTTCTGAGAATGAGTAAATCGGCGTCAATGAATATGATTTTGTCGTAGTCGGTTAACTGCCATAGACGAAACTTGCTGTAGTTCCATTCATTGTAGGCGTCTCGTTCGGCTTTAGGGTTTCTGATTCGTTCGATTGTGTGGACTTTCCAGCCGGCGGCCTGAAGACCTTCGCGGTGGTAGTCGCTGATTGTGTTGTCGACGAGTATCACCAAGTCTCGGGTCGACCCGGACATCCGAATGCTTTGAGCTGCTGCAATTGCTCCACATACGTATACATGAGCCGAGTGTAGAATTGTTGCATACGCTTCTCGTTTTGGATTCCCGGAGTATCGATAATCTGTTATCAATCATCATACACTCTTTATGTAGTCGAGCAATTTGGTTACATCAATTAGGGTGAAGCTTACAAAATGACCACGAACTTTTTCATTCTTTACATTCATGTCCCTAAGACTTTTAATTGTACATTTTCAGTCCTTGAAACTTTTTAAGGGTATTTTCCATGACAAGTATTTTCCATGAATGTACATTTTCATGTCCTTGTACATTTTCAGTCCTTGTACATTTTCATGTCCCTAAGACTTTTAATTGTACATTTTCAGTCCTTGAAACTTTTTAAGGGTATTTTCCATGACAAGTAAGCATCCATGTCTTTTGCACAAACAAAAGATCGGATGTTTGTTAGGTGGGGCACATCACATCGCAACTTTGGTCATGTTAACAGACAGTTTAATCCAATACACATCAAACACAGGACACCCTGTTTAAGAAATTATTAAGAACTAACCTTTAGCCATGAGAGGGACCGAAAGTTCACAAGACCCAACCGGAAGCCGCACTTTATCCCTCAACAAATTAAGATCCGGTTCATATAACCAAACATTCCCTCTACGCATCACAAGCTCTTTACACATAAAAAGATTTGGAATTGGGAAACAATCGGTCACCAAAAGCACTCTAACCGGATGAACCCCTCTAGATTTAGCAACAAATCTTGCAACCGCAAGTTGCAAATGCAAACGAGCCACATCTCTTGACCAATCCCGTGTCTTCACACACGGAAGCTTTACAGCTATGAAATCAATTCTTGGTTTTCTTGGAGCTTCAATCAAGGGTAATTTAGGGCATATAGGAACTTTATATTCTTCTTCTTCGTCGATCCACTCGGGATATAGATCTTCCCAAGTTATGTTTTTTGCAGGATTGAGGTTGAGGGTAATGTGCTCGGGTGATGGGAGTAATTCCTTCCATTGATCGGTTTCATTCTCGTTGAAGTTTAATAGACCGATTCCCTTATACTCATTTGCGTCGGAAAGTGTCCTAATTACCCCGGAAATGTGATTCCAGTTGACTTTTAAATGGGATAGATACCTTTCATCGTCTGAGAGAGATTTCTCGTTTCCCCATCTTTCTACCAAACTCACCCTGTGTGCACATGATGTAAGAAACTATTTACTGTGTACTGTGTACTGTATACTGGGAGTAGGATATATAACGTACCGGGATCCGGAATGGGAAGGGCGTTCTGTGTTATATACAGCTGGCGAGTGAAGGAGCGTAAAAAGTGCTCCCAATATTATAATAACCAAAACAAGCTTTAAAGTAGGAAATTTGCAGCTTGCATTTCTGTCTTGGTTGGGACTAAGATATGGTTTTTCACCATCTTTAAAGCTTCTATTTCCAAAAGACCTTCTTTTGCTTGTATCTTCACTGAAACATAAAAAACTATTAATATCTTATAAAATAATAACATAACTTTTTGAATAAAACAATTTAAGAGGTTGTATACATAATATGATATAAAATAATATGATGACTTCACTAACATCACACGTTTATAAAATAATATGATGGGAGCAGAAAGTGTGATGAAAGTTTTGGATTTTAAAACCGAAGAGTCAAATCAACTACAGATCTAAAATAAGGGCTTAGGTAGTTTCGTAAAAGAAGAGAGGTAATTAATTCCTTTTGGTGTTTGTTTTAGCAGCTATAGCTATCTACTTATAGGCTACATGTAGAAATAAATGAAAATCACAATTGAACTATGCAACAACTACAAATACCAAACAATTCGCAATGATAATAAGATCTATAAGAATATGGGACCACTTTTTTCCTGATTATGGATACAAAATTTGGTAACTTGTAACAACCGTTTTGATAACTTGCAATTTCTGAATGTGACATTGATATAACAAATCTAATCACCAACTTCTATTCTGTCATTCTGTGTACCCGTTATAACAATCAATGTCAATATCAACCTTTGAAATCTAGAATTTTACATCAACTTTAAAGTTGAGATTAACAAATCAAAAGACAGTGTATCACTATTCTTAGGTTTTGGAATAGATGGTCAAATAGTCAAACTTTATCTTACATGCTGATACCAAATACACATTGAGTAGAAAACAGGTAAAATATACCGAATTGCACTATGACACTATCTAAAGTAACTTAACTCAGTTTTACCTGAACCTTTTTGAAACTCAAATTGCTAAATCCCCAACTGCTTAAAATTATGTCATCTTGGAATATAGATTAGATAAGATAATAGTCTCTTTGATCCTGGAATCAGTAGAGTTTTTTTTTCTTAAAAGTTCATTAGATAAAAGTCGCATTTTCAACTGCAACTGAGTGGACTTCATAGAGAAAGAGGTCTCTGAATCTAAACGATAAAAGCTTAAATTCCAATTCCATTTTGACCCAAATGAAATAAGTTCATAAAAATCAACTTTTTTCGGCATCATTTTGTCAAATCTAACCAAATAAAACTTCAAATAAACTAATACCAATGCAAGGACACAATTAATTCTTCTAACAAGCATTTTCACAAACACCTGGTTTGCATATATTATCAACTCATTTTAAAGTTAAAAAGAGAGGAAGGATCTACTTGGCTACGGAGAGCCGATGTCTAGGCTCAATTGGAGTAGGCGAAGCACCGAGGAGTCCTCTCATACTTGTCAAATCAATTTCAGCAGGGCTGCATCTGTGATCTGCGGAAAATGAAAATTAGGAGCAGACGAACATAACTGTTGACTCCCAAAAATAATTCTATTGCATGTGATTCCAACTTACGAATTCGGATCTTGAATACAAGAGAATATCAGAGCAACATTGAACCTCTCATATGGTTTTGGTGACTGGTGAGGAAAAGAACATTAATGGAGTCTGCTTCAGCGTTAAAGGTTTTATTACAGAGGGTCAGAGCTCGTACAGCCGCAGTCAAATTTATGCTCAAATTATGCAAATTTCTCTAAGCTATTGACATACTTCATTTTTGGCCCTTGAACTATGATCTTGGCTAGTTAGGCCCTTATACTTTACAATAGCACCAAAAATGGTCAAATTGATTGAGAAAATGACGACGTGTCAGATATGTGATGAAATTCAATTATTATTGTCTTGAATTATTTTCGATTTAATATAAATTTTATAACTATAGTTATTATTGTTAATTTTAAAATCTATCTATTTCGATATTTTGATTTTTCTAAAAATGATTTTTAGACATTCTTTTAGTTGTGAATATAACTAAACTATATGTAATTTTATAATTAATATAAATTTTTATTATAGTTATATTAAATTAATTTAATACTATTTATTTAACTATCGTTCAATATACTTAACCAAAATTTTCAATGTAATTAAAGAAATTAACATTTTAATTTTAATCCATGTCCTTCCCATTTTCCAACTTGCAATACAATATACTTAATATTTCAATTTCAATTTTGAATAGGATGTTAAATATAATAACGTAGAAAATTTAAAGTGTGCTAATACATGTCCAAAAAGTTTTTTTTTTTTAAATTATAATGGTGAATGTGAAACCTAAATCAAAATGGAAAAAAGAAATTTAAAACTGTCCTAAAATTCTTTTTAAAATCTCTAAATATTATTAAAAGAGAACCTTTAATTCACCAATGAAGCAATCAGTGCCTTTGATTGTATTTCAGTCTTATGTTTTCTACCCTTAGATCAAATTGCTAACATCATCTTCCCTAAATAGAATTCAAATAGTATATAATTATAGAATCTTTATTCACGTTTTGGAATATTTAATTGCTTACCATATTAATCCTTCCAATTGATTCTAATTGATATTATACATAGTAAACGACTTTTCATAAGTCAAATGATATCTTTGTAAAAAGGAACTTATAAGGTATGTTATTTTCTATTTCAAATTTAAATTTAAAATACATTTCAGTTTATTTACTTCCTATTTTTCATCATTATATATCTTCTATACATAATACAAAATTCTAATAGTTTTATTCTTCGATTTACGTAGAAACAGTTGACATACTTCCTCTGCAGAAAAATAGAGCAAAAACTTCTCCAACCTTGTCATCGACGATCAACTGTATGTACTTTTATGCCTTATCATTTTCTGTTTCGCACTTTCAATTTCTGTTATCAAATCACTACATACTTTCATTAACTCAAACCTCAATCTTCACATTAATCCAATTAGTTATTTCAATAAATATATTTCCAATAAAACCATTTATTTTGATTTTATTCGTTTTCCTCCAACTATTTAATGGCTCTGTCAATGTTGTTATTTTTTTTATTTAAATTAAACATTATGAATTAAAAAGAGTTTCAATTTCATACACTTTTGCCTTTATGGAAAATTGATAATGCAGCATTCGGTACTGTTCATACAAAGGGCAAATCTGGAAAACAATTTTTTATCCCTTCATAGTAGGATACTTTCATTTTCTACAAATGAGCATAATGCCAATGTACTTCTGAACCATAAAATGTATTGCTATTATGTTCTTATATTTGTATTGTTGTTCTAAATTATTGACTGCTATCAATTTAACATATTTGCCCCTTTCAACTATAAAGTTTACCATTTTCATGAAAGAAAATTGTCCAGTTGACCATTTTGTCACTACCAAAGAATAACAATGTATTTCTGAATCATAAATACAATGTTATTCTGTTTTTTATTTGTATTGCTCTTTTAAATTACTGACTGTTGTCAATTTGATATATTTGCTATTTACTTACTTCAACTTATTTTTTCTGTTTTTTTATTTTTTATTTTTTTGGTTTTGTTAAATATGTGCATATGTTCGTTTCCATTTAGTGCTTACTACTTTTTTTTTCTAATCAGCACCTCACATTTGACCATTTACTGTGGCAAGTAATATTGTTTTCTCATATTTTTATAATTGATTGGATTTCATGGAATAAAATGATGTAATAAGATGAAATATAATTTTTTGTATTTTAATAGTACCTGATGAGTAAAAGAAAAAAAAAGGAGGCTAATGGAATTGTCATCTAAAAGTGTAGTTGATGAATACATTATATAAAACATGGATTTTTTTTTTGTATTGCAATGAGTAAAGGGGCAAGATGGTCATTTAAATTTAAGTGATATTTCATTTTTTTGTTTGTATTTTATTTAAACCAACTATTTGATGGTAGTAATTTTAATTTTAAATTTGAAACTATTAGTTTATCCCTTTAAACATCCATATTACTTGGTTGAGTCACATGTGTTTAACAAGAGTCAATGACAATCATTATTAACTGTTGGATTGTATTTGCGTAGACTCGTCTTCCCTAATGGTCAGTATATGTAGTTGTTTCTCGCGTGACAAATAAAAAAGGCTTTGAAGGTACTCATATGTGACGAGGAAGATCGTCCAACCAATAAAACAAAAAAAATATTGTCTACAAAGAGGTCATCCTACGATTATAGATAATCAGACATTTGGTTTTATTTATTTTAGACATTTCAATATATTCAATAACACAAAGTCTCTTTATGTTACTTTATCTTTTTTTTTTATCGGCTTTTGATAACTTTATATGTATTTTTATATGTTCCCCGTGTTTTACGCGGACGTGGGTCATAATCTAGTAATTTTTATAGTTGTTGTTACGATAATTTATACAAAAAACTAATAAATAAAAAGGATATTTACAAAATCCAGTTTTTTTAAAAATTCATATTTAGAATATTCATTTTGATATAATTTTTTTTTTATAAAAAATAAAGTAAAAGGTTAAAGATGAATCTTAGCACCATTTTTATGGACAAAAAAAATAGTGTATTGTTAAAATCTGATGATAATCGGTTTGAGAGAGCTCGCTCTTTGGTTCACCTCAACGCAGAAAATGATCATCAAATTGATGGAAACAATTGCTTCATTCCTAAGTTAACTGACAGTCACCGGAGCAATCGAGCCGGTCACCGGAACTTTTTCCCTCGAGATAATCCCACAAGATCTCCGAAACCCCGCATGTTTCGAGCCTACCGAAACTTTCTCCCCCGAGATAATAACCCCACAAGATATCCCAAACCCCTCGTCATCCCCAACCGCCTAGGCTCGCGATCAAATTCCAAACTCCAAAAGATTTCTTCACAAATTTCACTTCCTTCGAGAGAATTTCAGCTTGAAATTACGTCCACAAATCTTTCTAAGTCTTCGTGCAGCATTACATTAGATAATCGGTTTATTCATCTTGTAAGTTAAAGCTTCTCTAGGGTTCTATGTGACACACATTTAGTTTTTAGTGAATTTGAATATGTATCTGCTTTTGTGTGTTCATGGTGATCACTTAATCGTACTTGTTCGGGAAACATTGGATTTTTCGTCCATGGTCTGGAATATCCGTTGAATCAACTTTATCTTTGGGTTGTGAAAAAGGTTTATCGGAATTTGTCTCTTTATCTCACTTCAATTTCTGATTCCCTTTTTTGTTAAAGGTTATACTGTTTTTCAGTGTTTATTTACATATTGATGGAATTTGTTTCGACATTCTTTTGACCCAGTGCCCATTATCCGCAATTGTGGTGGAAGTGTTATCATCGTATGTTTCTGATGGGATGGAAAAGAATAGTTATTGTTCTATCATTCTCTCTGATGGTGATGGAGTCCTCAAGCAGAATGTTACCATTGTCATCAAGCAACATTGGTGCTGAAAATTCCTTTCTATACAAGTGGACAATCTTCAGTGCAAGCTTCTGTGTACTCATTGCTCTTATCCTCTCAATGTGTCTAATGTTTGAGCACTTATCTGCATACAATCAACCTGAGGTATTTCTGTTATGTACCATCTTTATACATCATAATTCTTGATTCCCCGTTAAATTTGAATATAATTATCATCTCAAATTACTTGTATTTCAGGAGCAGAAATTTTTAATTGGGCTTATCCTAATGGTCCCTGTTTATGCATTGGTATCGGTATAACATCCGTTCTCTATTTCTTTTCTGATACTTTTCTATATTCTTTACAATTATCTAATTTTCACCTTTTTTTTGTAATATGGACAGCTTTTGTCACTGTTGGATTCAGATGCTGCATTCAACTATGAAGTAGTCAGGGATTGCTATGAAGCTTTTGCATTATATTGCTTTGAGAGATATCTCATAGCCTGCTTAGGTATGCTCTTTTCTAGATTTAACTCTTATAATTTCAGTTTCCTGTGTCCATGTTCATAATTTTTTTGACAAATATTATGTTGATTGAAGGTGGAGAGGATAATACTATTAAATTCATGGAAAGTAAAAGCCTAATCACCTCAAGCATTCCACTTATAGAAGAATCATATACTTATGGAATTGTGGAACATCCTTTTCCACTGAATTACATGCTCAGGGAGTGGTATCTTGGCTCTGATTTCTACCAAGCTGTAAAAATTGGGATTGTTCAATACGTATGAATTTTCTTATTTACAATTAGGTTTAATAATTCTAGTGTGGTTTACTCCTTATTCCTTATCTAATCTCATGAAAATTCTTGCTTCCAGATGATCCTGAAGCCCATATGTTCACTTCTAGCAATATTTTTTCAGTTTCTTGGAGTTTATGGTGAAGGGAAATTTGAATGGGGATATGCGTAAGTCCCTGTTTCCTTTTTTTTTCTCCATTAAATGTTTTCTGGTTAAACGAGGGCAAATTTGTAAAATCTGATACAAGTTCTTATATTTGTTTGCAGCTATCCATACTTGGCACTAGTCCTTAACTTCAGCCAAAGTTGGGCCTTGTATTGTCTCATACAGTTTTATTCAGTAATCAAAGATAAGTTAGCACCAATTAAACCTTTAGCCAAGTTTCTGACTTTTAAGTCAATAGTATTCTTAACATGGTGGCAAGGTGTTGCTGTTGCCTTTCTTTTTTCCATGGGTGCCCTTCAAGGGTCTTTAGCTCAAGAACTAAAAACCCGCATTCAAGATTACATCATCTGTATCGAGGTAAGTTTTGGGCTTTATTTCTTTTTATATATATATAAAACCTGATTTAGGGTTTAGGGTTTAGGGTTTTTAAACATCTGTATGTTTACATACAGATGGGTGTTGCTGCAGTGGTGCATATATATGTATTTCCAGCAGCACCTTACAAACGAGGTGAAAGATGCGTACGCAATGTTGCTGTGATGGAGGACTATGCATCTTTAGGTTCGGAACCTGCTCCGGATGAGGTTCGGGATTGTGAGAGAACCACAAAATTACGGTTTAGTCCTCATGGTGAAATTGAAAAGCGTATGAAGTTACATCAAAGTGTTCGTGATGTGGTCGTTGGAAGTGGTGAAATTGTAAGTTCCCATAAATTTTAACCCAGGGTTCCGGTCTGGGCTTAGCAGAGCCAGAGTGTTGTGTACCTGATTTACATCTCACATCCTAACAATGTGTCTTGTTTTTAGTTTGAATGAGTTGTCATTTTTTGTTGAATACAGATGGTTGATGATATGAAGTTTACGGTTTCGCATGTGGTGGAGCCGGTTGAAAGGGGAATAGCGAAAATAAATAAAACTTTTCATGAGATATCAAAAAATGTGAAACGACATGAGAAGAGAATAAAGAGCTCCAAAGATGATAGTCATGTTATCCCTTTAAATTCATGGAGTAAGGAATTTTCTGAAGGGGATGATGATGGAGTAGGAGGGAGTTTTAGTGACAGTAGTGTCTTTGAAGGGAGGAGACCACGTCAGCAATCAAAAGTCTCTTCCCGGTCTAACATGTTTTCTAAACCTTTTTGACAAAAAAATAGATCAAATGACATATTTGGATATCATCTATATAGCTGGTAAGTTTATGTTTACTTTTAGACCCCATTTGTTACACATGACATGACAACATTGGACTGAGGCTGATGTTTGTGTTTGTTGCAGGGTGATTAACATACTTGATTCCTTTACCACTATAAAAAATGTGGGTGATACTAAAAAAGGAGGTTATCAGCTAACAATAGAGGCAGTAGCTAATGATGTATTATGTATATATGTTTACGTTATATAATCCTCTAATGGATAGGGATTTATCCTTGAGGAAAAACTGAAAATATGATGCAGCATATTTTAAAAGTTCTTTTTCGAATAAAGGATGAAATGCTGATAGTTGAGTTGTGGAGTGGATGGTTTTAAATATACACAAAATTGAATGAATGTTTGTGTTGACTCGCTATAGAAATTAACATGTGTAGGTGATTTTAGTGTCATCAATACATTTAGTGCAGCCAGGATTCTATTTGATACAAGTTGAGTTTTATTTGGTTATTCTGAGGAGGCGCCGAGTGTACACTCAGATAGCTAATGAGGACTCGGGAATGCGGGGTCCACGGACAAACGCCTCTGGTATCGCCTATAGCGGGTCAAAGGGTAGACCCCTTGACGGACCAGATCCTTAATGAAAAAATTGACCGGGAGAAATATCAACTGTCACAACTGTTGGGAATAGTTGTTACTTTTCCCACCAAAATTAACCGAATTAAACTACCATCTTCTCTATAAATTGATGGGAACAGTTGTACTACTGAAACTTTAGTACTACATTTGATATTACTGAATATATACTAACACTATATTTGGTGTTATACAACTAATTAGCATAAAGTTTGGTGTTGAATTGAAACAACTTTACACTATATTTGGTATAAAAAACAAGTTTTCACGTTGGGCTAGAAATGCCCTAAAATAACCATAAAACGTGGTCATTTATTTCTCGAAAACTACTTGAAACATAACTTGACGGAATGAGCACCATATCGGCAAATAATACATTGCACATACGTAATGTTACTTTTGTCGTAGTAATGTCATTATTTGTGAGTATCATAAAGAACATCCTTATGATAAATAACCTCGCTATATCATTGTGATTTTATTATTATTATTATTATTATTATTTTCGTAATTGTAAACGATTTTCCTTATCATCCATGAATTGGGTGTTTATTGATATAATCATACAAAACAATCAATGTATTCCCAATAATGAACAGATTATGTCAAACCTATTACGAGTTCACATGGCTTGATGCTCATTCCATGGGTACTCAGATTATTGATATGTTCTTGTGGCTCGATACTCATCCATGGTTAGTGGAAGAGGTTGATTATGGAGGTTCTTTGGATGACTAATTTTCTTTATTTGGAACTATCTCAATGCCATGGTCATTGGTTCTAAGAAGTTACGTCAAAACACTATTTTTGGAACAAGGGAAAAAAGTTTCATTTCTTTTAACTAGATCGGGGCATAGAATCAGAGTAAGGCCTGTTTGATAGTTGTTGTCCGGGAAATTGCTATTTGGGAAAATGTTGTCTGGGAAAGTTTATTGACCGGGAAAGAAACCATGTTGTTTGATTGTAACCCGACTGACTCTGGTCAATGATGAAAAATGATCATATTACCTTGTTGTTCTGATTGAAACTTTATATATGAAATGGTCCCCCTAAATCCTATGCTCGAAAAAAAGAAAGAAAGAGTCGGGGTTTGGGGCACAATTGTCTTTCCGTCTCATTCAACCAGAAATATATGATTTTACAGCTTTATGTGAAAGACATATCTTACTAGGAAAGACCTATTTTTTGTGCAAATCAAATAGTTTTTCCGGACCATTCAATCATAAAGATTTGGACCTGGAAAGATGTCTATCAAACGGGGCCTAAGTTGCATGTCAATTGTGTTGTTTAGATACATAATCCCTTGTTGATAGGTAAAATGTGGTTGTTTTGTTTTGTTCTAGCTTCTTGTTCATTTGTCTTTATAAAATTAAACCGTTCCAAAAAAAAAATTTAAGTAAGATTTGACACACCCACTAGACTTTTTCACTTTGTTGTTAACAATGACTTTGAATGCTAGACTTTTTCACTCACTTTGTTGATAACAATGGCTTTGAAATGTATGAATGTCATGGAAAAGGTCAAGAATCAACATCTTCAAAGTATTAACATTCAATTCTTTGTCCATTGTTAAGCAGGGTCGAATGAATAAAGTCAAAAAAATATTAAAAAAAACGTACCATTAAATGAATAGATTAAGTGCATTATTAGTTAAATAATTCCAAAGAAACATACCTTGATAAATAAACAATTATAGCAATGCATATAAAAATAATATCATACTAGCTCTATTTGAGGTTGAATGCATAAATGCAAAACTAAATCGTAAAAAATATTGATTTTGTTGTATCATTGAAGTTGTAATATATTTTGTTCTACAAATGTATTTATGATAACTGATATATCTTTAATCCAAAACTCTTTCTAAATTATAAATATATATTTGCTGTAGAGGTGTATATGATTCAATTTTATTTAGCTTTTATTAAAAACTAATGATACTAGGACTCATGTAGAGTCTGACTAGGCAAAAGTGGAAATATGAGAAATTGGATTAAGAAGAATCGAATGAGGTGACATACCGAATCGACATTCAATGATTAAACTCACCATTGTGAGATGTTATGTTGACATTCAACGAATATGGAATTCAATGACCATTGAACTCTTCAATGGAAAAAAAAAACATTTTAATTATGTTATTCGAAGTATCCATCACTAACTACTAATGTGGTGGGTGTCACATCCTCACCACACACAACTACTAAAGGTTGGTATATCCACCACTTTATTCATCTTATTTTTTTGATTATTTAAATAAAAATATCTTTTTAATTACTTAAAATCAAGGTTTTAAAAGCTCGTCACGGCTTCGTCATAGCTCCAAGGCTTGTACTTACCACCACGTTTTAACAAAATGCTTATGTATATAAAAATGAATAATATATATATATATATATATATATATATATATATATATATATATATATATATATATATATATATAATACACAATTATCGCCTTCAGCTACGCCTTACTAACGACGAGGCTTGCCATGACTCGTAAAAGATTCAGGTTTGACATTGCCGTCAAAGTCACGCATAACGTTATTTAGAACATTGCTTAAAATGTAGAGAGAGCTAGAGAAAGATAAAGAGAGAAAGAAGATAATTGGTTGTGGTGGTTTGTAATCCCCACCACAAATGACCACGAAAATTGCAACCACTAGCCACCACTAAACACCCAAGGTGGTGTTCACATTGTGGTTGGGTGCCATGTAGACAATGAAACCCTCCATTGAGGGACCCGGATGGTCTTATTAAAAATATGTTCTATTCAATTTTTGTAGAGTTCAATATATTATAAAAAAAAATTTGGTAGAGTTGTATAAAAAATAGAAGATGATTTGCCAATCAATTAAATTCTTGAGACAAATCACAAATGTCTTCATTTGTAGAGTTTTTTTTTTTTTTTTTTTTTTAATTATTATTACCGACACAAGATAATATACAAACAAGTCGTGTTGGGTCAATGCTCATCAGGGAGTAGCAATAACAAGTATATTCTCATAAATGTACATTAAACATCCTTGACTTTGATATGTAATGACTTGGTGAAAAAGCTGGGTACTTTATTTAAGAGAGACAAAAAATACATTGCTATTTCTATTAACCGAAATAAAATGCAGTAGATAAATCCAATAAAAAAAAACTAACATTAACATATAACTAGTGTTTACTACATAAATCCAATCAAAAAAAACGAATTCATAAAATGTGTAAGACCTATTGATATGGGCACAAACCAAGCATCAATTCCATACCCGCCAATTGATGATTAAGGAACCTATAAACCGATTCGGTTGTTGTGGCAGCTATTCTCACAACCACACCTGTCCCCTGCAACAAATGGCAACCTATTTTCATTTATTTATTCTTATTAAGGCATTGTACTTCAAAAGCTTTTATCCAACTCTAGCATTATACTCTTTCAATTGTTTGTTGTTAGGACATTATATTATACATTAATAAATTCAAATCCAAGTGTAGCTAGCATAAAAATTGCTTTGTATTTGGAGGACATTGCTACAATTAAGTTAAAAAAAGGAAACAATATAAAGGAGAAAATGAAAAGTACCTTTGGACCAAAGGGGCTACAAGAAGCAATAAGTGAAGGCTTTGTATATCGATCACTATTACATGCTTTAGAGACTGAGATTCCTCCAATAGATGGAGCACGTAATTGCTCTGACATCATCTTCTTCACATCTTCTTGAATTTGGTTTTGTATTTTCTTCAACTTAGGCCTAAATTACAATAATAACCCAACCCAAAACATGATTTTTTTTTTTTGAAATTTCATATTATTACCAAGAAAGCAAAAAAGCACACAAGAATACTTCAAAAAGATAATCCTACCCTAGCAAAATAACCATTGCAATTACTTGGTAATCCTGCATTCGTTCACCAATACTTGAAACACTTGTGTTCTCAAGTAGTACCTAAATAAAATCAAACAAATGGAGATATAGATATACTCATTGTAATGCTTCCTTTTTTCATATAACTTGGTTTACATATGTTGTCCTTGATATTAAGTGAGATATCAAAACCAAAATGGGCTAAAAGAAAGAAAGAAAGAAAGAAAGAAAGATACCGTATCAAGAAACATGGGCTTTGTATCAAGATATATGTGATTGGTGCTTTTATAAAGCCCAAAATCCCATTTTTCTCCACTTTCATGACGCCCACTTGTGATCCAATCAACAATCAGTAAACTTGAGTCTCCAACCATTCTAAAGATTTGCTTTTGGGAGTATCTTGCTGTAGAAAAACATGTCACTGGATCTGGAATGACAACCAAAAGGGCATCACTCCCTATTCTTGCCTACTACATTCAAAATATTAGCGTCATTAAAATATATATATATATATATATATATATATATATATATATACCATTTTACATTCTAAATTTTAATCTGGTTGATGAGATTGATGAGAATCACAACTCTAAGATCATTAAGTGTTTTTAGTGTCGATTACATATGTTAACTAGCCATCTTTTTATGTAATAAATTTAACTTTGAAATGAAGCTAATGAAATAAGCAGCACTTAATGCAAAAAGAAAAAAACAGCACAACTTATTACCTCCATCATTTGCTCAGAGCACTTCAAGGCCACTGATTTGTACACCTATATAACCAGGTGAAACTTCTGTTATTTTAATGAAAACATTCAGCAAAGATTTTAATTCCCTCCATCTTTTAGTATTTTGGAACAATCAAGAAGACAAGAAGGTTTGTATCCTAGATGCAGCAAAGTATATCCGAATAACAGAATTTAATGTCTTTTGTGTTGGTGTTAAAGTTAGGCCCTAATTATGTATACTATGCACATGAAATGACATGAAAATATGAAATGAAGCTTGATATTTGGTTGAAAATGTCACCATTTCTATAACTCGTGAGCACAAACTTGCTATAATTGGGAACACAGAAATTATTTTAAGAATTGAGGCATCCATGAAGGAAATTTTGCAGTTTTTACAGGAGAGAGCATATGAAGCATAAAAACAAACACATGGCATGCAATCAGATAGCTGTGACGTGAAGGAGATTGACCTTGGTAGATGCCTGAGTTGTCAAAACGGCAGTGCAACCATCTTCTACGGTAAGGTCAACCGAAATGCAATCACCCTAAATCAGAAAGAAAGAAAGAAAGAAAGAGAGAAGCATGCGTTATAAGAAAGATCAATCCTAAACAATACAAAAACATCTGTTTCACTCAAACCTTATCATAGCTTAATCGAAATGCTTACAGAAACAATGCCACCACCATAAGTGAGGGTGTAGATCCAAACGGCATCGGTTTCAGAACGCCCTGCCTGCAATACATATCAAATTTGAAATTTTTTTCTCAGGGCTCATAAAGCAGAGAATAAATTGATAGGGATTTATTTGATACCTTCGTCGGAATGATGAACTTGAGAGGATACTTGGAGAAGCATCGGGTTACGGTGGACTTGTCTCCTACTCTCCCCACTACTAACTTCCCGGTTTCCATATTTACCCTCAACTCTGCCCTCATAATTGCCTCTTAATATCATAAAGATCATTACAAAATTACACCAATGGTCCTTGCGATTGACAAAATTACTAGTCCCCAATATCTATCTTCACCCAACTTTTATTTTTGCCACTTAAATCATTTCTAACCAAATTTATTTTACATTTGGTCCCTAACCTAAGTCAAGATCAAGTCAAACACAATTTTTATAAAATTGATGGCTTTAGTCTTATCTTCATCAATTTCTAATTTAAGAATTCTAACTTAAACTTATAAATATTAACTCATGACATTTAAATCTAAAATTTAAGTTAATTTAGGTCGCACTAAAATTTCTTACTTTTGAAAAGTTTAAACATTGAGGTTTTTATTTCATAAAATAGGTACCATTCGTCATGACACTTTAATATAACTTCTCAATTTCATATAAAAGGCTCGTAATCAAGTTTTCTACTAGTTAGTCATTGGCTAAGTCAACAATAGGCATATAATTTGTCATTTGACAATCCTAGTCTATTCATTTTATTGTTACACCTTTTAGGTCAAAATACTTATTCTTGTTAAATAGTCTCGTCATATTTATTTTAAAACTCTTGATATTTACCATATGTTTTATTTATTACTTTTAACTATTTATTTTTATATTAATTTATATTTTTTTTCAAAGTTTTTATTTTTCATTAAAAAGGCTTAGGTTTGTTTTGAGGATGTTACATATTTCATTTGTCACGAGTGAGCCAACAATTCGTGGATAAATGCTTTGGATGAAACTATGTACCCTGGTGGAGATGATTTTGTCTTAAAGATGCCCTACATATCCAAGAATATACTTGATCGGTAATTTGACCGATGACTATTTAACCCAAGAATCTACTAACCTGCAAGTAGATGGAAGTTTGTAAAATGTGAGCCATCTTGTAAATGGTTTGGATGAAGCTATGTACCCTGGTGGAGATGATTTTGTCTTAAAGATGCCCCACATATTCAAGAATATAATTGATCGGTAATTCGACCAATGACTGTTTAACCCAAGAATCTACTAACCTGCAAGTAGATGGAAGTTTGTAAAATGTGATCCATCTTGTAAAACTCACCAAGAAAATGAGAAAAATAAAAAACATCACATGTGTAACATTCGTATTTTATGACTAAAATTCTAACCTTTTATGTGGATTTATTTAGAAAAAATTAAATTAAATATAAACGAATAAATATATTATATAAATAAATAAAATAAATAGAATATGATGAGGTCAAAAGTCTCAAGGTTATTAGAATGTAAATATAAAGTTAGATAGAAAATTATAAATAGGAGGGACTAAACTTGCCAAATTCAAGAACTTAAGTTTGACTTTGGCTTAACTAGATTTGGGTCCAAAGTGTGAAGGAATTAACTTTTTAGGTTATATGTAGAAGTAATGTAACATGTTAGTTAAATGGAATAAAAACAAGTGATAAACATAAAGGTTTTAGGGCCAAAGTGTCATTTAGTCAAATATTAGAACATAAGCCCCAATTCCTCTTTTCTCATTTTGAATGTAGGTGTACCTTGGGGAAGGATTAATGGTGATTTTGGAGTTTTAGATAAAATTGGAAGGTGAATTGAAGATGTAATGGTGTCACTATGGTTGATCTCTAACTCTTAATCAATTAGCTTTTAGATGTTATGGATTAGTTCCAAATCTGAATTCTATAAGTTGATACATCAAAATGATTTCGATTTAATGTTAAATTGTATGTCTAAAAAGCAATCCAATGATGTAATTTTCATTTCAAATGGTGAATTTGAGTTTACAAAGCTTTAATGAAGTTTTTGAAACCTTGGCTTCATGATACCATCACTAGAGTTTGTGGATTTCGATTCCAGGAAATGGTTTTGGTAAATGGTGTGGTTTGGATGTTACTTTACTAATACAAAGTCCAAGTCATAGCAGTGAGACCTTCAATTCAATTAGGTGTGGAGCCAAAATTTTAGGATAAGGGGGCTTATTTATCGGTGTTACTAGTGAGCGATGACCAGGAGGCGGAGATGACATCGAGTGGTTAGGGTATTTGATTTTAGAATTTGTTGAAATATATATTCTCTTATTCAAACTTAACATTAATTAAGAAAAGGTAAGGTTTGTATTTTTTTTTACTATTCTATAGGGTGTATTGTGAAATGTAGTGTGCAGGTGATGATCTTCGGGTTTACACGCGGACCCTATACGGGTTTGGGTGCTCCATGGAGCTGCTTGCTCCGAGAGTACTTAATGTGTTAATTGTGTTCAGTTGAATTCATTCCTCGTGATATTTTGTTTAGAAGTGTTCTCTCTTTCTCTCTAGATTAGGGTTTCTGTAAGGGTTTCGTTCCAGAGCTTTTGATCTGTAATAACTTGTTATCAGGTTTTCATTTGAGTGTAAGAGAGTTTGTGTAGTGAGATTTCCTTTGTATTTGTTTGATGTAAACCAACTGTTTCATAGTGAATGAAATGTTGATGTTGGGAAATCGTTGAGTTTATCTTTTCGTACATGGTATCAGAGCTTAAGGCTCCTTCATCTTCTTCATCGATGTTCATCGGAGGATTACGACTCAGAACAACGTCTTAAAAGGTTGTTTCTAACTTCTTTTCTTTTCTTTCGTTGTTTCTGGTTGATCGATCGATTTAGGGTTTTATCATTTTTTTTCTTTACGATCTTTACGATCCTGGTACTGTGAGAGTTTTTTGTGGTTCATTGCAGGTGTTTGTGCCTGATACTTGTTCTGGTCGCTTGATAGTTGAACATCGATCACTTTACAAACGGCCCTTCTTCAATCGATTAATCTGTTTAGTCTGAAATAACTCACTAGGGGTCGGATTTCATCATCGATAAACCCTACGTTGAGAACGGACAAACAGAGTCGATTCGTCTTCGTCTCGTCTTACGAAGCACTGTGAGGGTTTTCTTGTTCCCTATTTTCTCTCTTTTATATATTGTGATTGGGAGATCCTGGTTGTTTTGTATACACCAGTTATTTTTCTTGCTTATTTCAGTTTGTTTTTTCTTTGACTCTGTATTGATTGTCTTGGGCCCCGACAAACGTGGTGACTGTAACGCCTGTGTTTATGGGCTAGTCATTAATGTTGATATAGTAGTCTAGGTTAACCTTTGTAACCCGTTTTGAAATAATAGAAGTGTATTATTTGAGTATTATGTGTTTTGTGCTTAACTGTGTCACTTAATTGAATTAAGTATGAAAATAAGCGTCAAAATGAAATGTTAGATAAAGCCGATATCTATGGATAATGTTGTAGTAGTTGAAACGAGGTTTCCGAATATATAAAGAATGCTGAAATCCGAGTTATAACGAAGAAGTTATGATCTGTCGAAGTTTCGCGACAAAACCAACACGACGCTGAATGACGTAAAAAGTGAATTTATGTTAGAGCGATATTTAGCCCTAGTGATCTAAACAAATGTTGTAGAGTTCATTAAACCGAGAGCGTGCATAAAAAGAATGCCCAAATCTGACTTCGTATGAGGAAGTTATGATTTTCCGAAGTTTCGACTTAGCAGTGTGCAGCCCGAATACTCGATTTGAGATCGAGCGGTTTTTAGCCGAAACAATCTAAACGAGAATCGAATATCTCGTCGATAGTAGTCCAACGGTGAAAAGACAGACGAAAACGGACTTCAGATGAAGGAGTTATGAATTTATAACGGAGTTTTCCTGTCCCGGCCTACTAAAAATAATATAATAAAAATATAATAAAAATAAAGTCAAAATTAGCCGACGGAGTCTAAACGAGAGTTGTAGAGCATAATCTCACCTATGCGTCGATATAAAGAACGTCGAAAACGGAGCTCGTATGCGAAAGTTATGAATTTCTGAAGTTTGGGGCGCGAACCCCGATACTGTGTCAGAGTTCACGACGTGAATACAGTGTTCACGACGTGAACTCAGTGATTTGACCTTTCAGAGCCTGTCAGACGCAACCTGTGATGACGCATGCAGTGACGACTAAGTTCACGACGTGAGAACTTAAAATTCAGGACGTGAGAGCTGAAAAATGGCCCTATAAATAGAATTCAAGGGGCAGCCGAGTTTGGTTGCTCATCTCTTACTCTCCCACTCCCGATACTCCCTCTAAGCCCTATTTTAACCCCCCGAAGCCCCGGTATCATCCCGAGACCCGAAGCGAGTCCCGAAGCCCCGAAGATCCCGAGAAGTGCAATTCCCGAGCCGAAGCTCTGCTAGCGAGAAGCCAATTTTTGTGACGATCTTCCAGATCTACCGAAGAATACTACTTTTAAAGTCGTAGTGCTGTCCGATCATCTTCTGATCAAGTGAGTGTGTAGTTACTTTCTTCTAACGCATAATTATGAAGTATTTTATACGAAATACGTGTTATGTGTATATTTTGTTGTTATATGTGTGAATGTATATTCACTTTCTTCTATCTCATAGATATGATTTATTATCTATGAAATACGTGTTATGTGTATGTGTCTCATCTGTTGTTTGAAATATGTATTGAATGAGAATGCTATACAGGTTTTAAACTATGTATAAAAATATATATTTTTATCTACTAATATGTTGGGTAGAACATGGGTAGATAGTTGATGTGTGATAAACAGATGAGAGGCCTCGATGTTGTTGTTGATCTACTCATCTAGCGGAGTATGGATGACGACCACAGACTCTTTCTAGACAGTCCAGTGGAACACTAGCAGGCTCATAACCTGTAGGTGTTGTGAACGATGTGCTCACCGGTGTACTCTATCCCCCTCATGGTTGCCTTAGGACTTTTATTGTTGAGGAAACCCCTTGCAGTAATGTCCGTCCCGATGAAAAATCCTAGATTAGGTCCCTTGAGATAGATGTTGTTTTAGGGACGTAAAGTGAGGATAACGGGAATGGGTAATTGGGTTATTGTTGGTTGGTGAAATTAAATATAATTATTTATTGTGGGTTGAAAACCCTATATGCTCACCAGGCTCCCAAGCCTGACCCACTCAGTTTTGTTGTATTAC